TTAAAAAATAATTAGAATGTATATATAAATAATTTATAAAATAGTTAATAAATATTGTAGTGGGGACCATTTTTGAAAGTGTAGGTGACGTGGCACAGTTGAAAGTGTTTATAGGTGAATTGCAGGTGTGTGGAAGATAATTGCAAAAGCTGATGTGGCACAATTGAAAGTGTAAATGAATTGCAGGGATGTGGATGGTCTAAGAACGATGAGTCCTACTTTTAGGATGGTGGGATATTTGCCTTCCACACCTTCCAAAAAGAGAATCATGCGACTTTCCACAAAGCAAAATTAGTGGGGTTAAACTTTGGTGGCTTGGCTATAGAGCCATTGTCGTATGATCCGGTAAAAAGATTTTGAAAAGAAGATCCCCGATTATAATAAGAAGCGGTTGCCATTACAGATCAAGTTTATTAAGTTAAACTAATCTGCTCTTATACCACTTGTTAATCACGTTTGTGAATGGCAAACACACAAGTAATTGTAGAAGGAAGGGTTGAATACAATTATTCAAATTTTCACTTAAATTTTTAATTCTTATTGATATAAAAATCAAGAATTATACAATGAAAACAAGATTGTTGCAGAATAGAAAAGATTAGAAATTTGTTCTAACAATCTTACTCTTAGAAAACAAGAACACACCTTGAATACAAAAAAAAGCTATGCTTTTAGAGGAACTTCCGAATTTTGCTTGTTCACATAGAGCCTTTCAAAAGCGTAACTTTGTATGGAGCAATCACTCTGCCTTTTATATTTCCTTATGCATTAAATGCATGGAGACATTTGTTACTTGGGGATAAGATGATAGAGTTGACTTTGGACCATTCGGAATGTCCTTTTCATCATGTACATGAAAAGGACTTGTCTCTCAAACACTTTGCTCATCAACTCTTCAGTTGTCAAATCAAACTCAAAAGAAGACAAACATACCTTTCAGGTGTTTCAGAGAAAGTTTTTTTCAAATATAAGGTAGAAAGATCTTTGTTAGAAAAGTTGCTACAAGAGGATTGTTAGGTTGACCTACCA